AAAAAATAGAAGTAGATACTGAAAGCAATGAAAAATCCCCAAATCCCCACTACTTGGAACAGAAAACAAACATCACAAACTTGGTGGTTACTCTTTAGCGTCTCTCCTTCATTTTATTCCCTGATCTACGCGTTACCCTCAAAGGTAGCCACTGTGCCAAACTTGGTGTTTATGATTTTTATATAGTATATCAAAATGCTCTTATTGGTTACATATATTTGTGTGTGTGTGTGTGTGTGAGATATATATATATATATATATATATATATATATATATATCTCAACAAGGTGCAATAGTTTTTGTTTTTGGTTTTTGCCAGTCCTGGGGATTGAACTCAGGGCCTGAACCTCTCTGTGCTTAAGGCTAGTGCTCTCCCACTTGAGCCACACCACCACTTCTGGTTTTTTCTGAGTAGTTTATTGAAGATTAGAGTCTCATGGGATGCCTTTGAACTGTGATCCTCAGATCTCAGGTGTAAGCCACTGGCGCCAGGCAAGCATTTTTTTCTTTTGTTGGTCATGGGGCCTGAACTCTAGGCCTGGATGCTCTCCCTCAGCTCTTCAGCTCACAGCAAGTACTCTACCACTTGAGCCAAAGTGTTACTTCTGGCTTTTTCTGCTATGTGGTGCTGAGGAATCAAACCCAGGGCCTCATGCATGCAAGGCAAGCACTCTACCACTGTGCTACCTTCCCAGCTTGAGGCAAGCATTTCTTTAATAACATGGCTCAAACTGAAGTAAGTTTCTTTTTTTTTTTTTTTGTCGGTCATGGGGCTTGAACTGTCGGCCTGAGCACTGTCCCTCAGCTCTTCAGCTCAAGGCCAGCACTCTACCACTTGAGCTACAGCACCACTTCTGGTTTTCTGGTGGTTTTTATTGGAGATAAGAGTTTCACGGACTTTCCTGCCTGGGCTGGCTTTGAACCGTGATCCTCAGATTCCAGCCTCCTGAGTAGCTAGGATTACAGGCATGAGCCACCGGCACCCAGCTGAAGTATGTTTCTGTAGTACTGAGAAATGAACTCAAGGCCTCATATCATGCTAGATATTCTACCATTGAGCCCTAACCCTAACCCTCAAACCCAGCTTTACAATCAAACAACCAACCATGTATCATAAACATTTTCACCAGTACTTCCTGTCTAAATTGTGAGTTGGTATAATGAACCACTGAATGATATGGGAAAAAGTGCCACAAAACAAAAAATCTTGTAGTTAATGGTCTGAGTAACAGTTACTTTTTTTTTTTTTTTTTCTGGGTCAGTTCTGGGGCTTGAATTCTGGACAGCACTGGGTGCTGACCCTGAACTTTTGTGCTCAAGTGCTTTAGTGCTCCACTTGAGCAACAGCTCTACTTTTTTGTGGTTAATTGGAGATCAGTGTCTCATGAGTGACACTCCAGCTTTTCCTGGTTAATTGAAGATAAGCCTCATAGATTTTCTTGCCTGGAATAGTTTCAAACCTCGATCCATAGATCTCAGCCACCTGAGTAGCAAGGATTACAGGCATGAACCACTGGTGCCTGGTGCAGCTACTCTATATGTGTGTATGCTGGTACTAAAGACTGAACACAGGGCCTTGAGCTCTGGCTTAGCTTTGTCATTAAAGGCTGGCACTCTACTACTTGAGTCACACCTTCACTTCTGGCTTTTTTGTAGTTAACTGAAGATAAGAATGTCATGGACTTTTCTGCCCAGACTGGTTGGAACCGAGATACTCAGATTTCAGCCTAAGTTTTTGTTTTGTTTTGCTTTTTAATTTACTCAACAAATACTCCTGAAAACAAATATAACAAAAATATTGAAAGCATAACACTGTACAAGGCTTGTAGCAAGGAAAAAAATGACACAGATGCTAAAGTCAAGAGGATTACAGATAATGGAGATAAAACTTATTAAGGAATATAAAACAATAGTCAATAGGAAATAGAAGTGTTCTATGCCACCCATCAGAGCAGTTCAGAGAACATGTGAAGAAGGGGAGATAAGATAACTCAGAAAGAGAATAAAACATTCAAACTAATCTTACTTGAACAGACAAAAATTAATAAAATGAATGGAAGGAATGTGATTATTTAGGTAACAGAAGAATTCAGTTTGGCACAAAAAAACAGTAAACAAAAGATAGGTTTAGCTCAAGGGGATACTGAGTTAAGACTAAAATGTAGTTGTTTGCAATGAGAACAGCAGATGTTTGTATAAAAACAGCATCAGTTACTTATTCTGTACAAAGGTGAAAATCACAGTAGTGAAAGCTTGGACCTTGCAATCTGACAGCTTAAAATTTCCAGCTCTGCAACTCATTAGCTGTGTGATCCAGGCAGGACATTCACTATTCCGTCTGAGCCTGTTTCACTTACAAAACATGGGTAGTGACAGTATCTACCTTAAGGTGTGATGAGTGTAATCAGATGATGCATATAATAACTTAGGAACAGTGAAGCCCTTATTAGTAGTATTCAGTATGCTATCATCCAAAAGCCAATGAATTGATATTGCTCTAGTGGCAACACATAAAAGATTAGCAAAGTAAACCCATTTGCCTTTTCCTCAAATTTCTGTCTTCAGTGAAGTCTGAAACACACACACACACATACACGCAGGCACGCACGCACACACACACATCACACACCGCTGGTGGTTCTTGCCTGTTATTCTAGCTTCTGGGGAGGCCAAAACATAGAGGATCAAAGTTCAAAGTCAGTGAAGGGAGGGAGGGAATCTGGAAGACTCTCTATCTCCAATTAACCAGCCAAAGACACAGACTAGAGGTATAGTTCTAGTGTACAGCACAAGCTATAAGCAAAAAAGGCCCAACTGAGGAACTTGAAGCCAAAAAAAAAAAAAAAAAAAGAATAATCAGGAGCCTACTACAATAGCCAAGTGAAAGCAGTTGGGAATGAAGGAATACATAATACAAGAGGTATACTTGACAGCAGACTAGATGAGGTCAGCCAGAAACTGAGTTGAAGGCAGGGTAAATGGGAGAATTCATCCATTTCTTCAGAATGTATTTCCAGAGTAGCTGTCATTTTGTTGACATAAAGGCGAAGCCCCACCAGAGCTAAGGCACAGAAACTGACTTTAGTAAAGGTTTCATTTTGGATACAGTGAGTTCAAAGTGTATACTCCAGGACATAGAAGTAGAAATGCCTGATGATCAGTAGAAGGAATAGGTGGGACAAAGCTCATGTGAGAAAAACTAGACGCAATGCCACAATAACACACAATGAAATTAAGAGGGGGAAAAAATGGAAGCCCAGTGCTGGGGTAGCTCATGCCTATAATCCTAGCTGCTCAGAAACTGAGATCTGAGGATCTCGGTTCAAAAGCCAGCCCTGTCAGGAAAGTTTGTGAGACTCTCCAATTAACCACCAAAGAGTTGGAAGAGGCACTGTGGCTCAAATGGTAGAGCGCTAGCCTTGAGCACAAAGAAGCTCAGGAACAACATCTAGGCCCTGAGTTCAAGCTCCATGTTGGGAAAAAAAAATTAAATCTAAGTAGGAATCTTTGCATAGAAAAGATACAATAAAACAGAGGGAGAAATAAGAAAACACTATCATTGAGGGAAGGGAAGGAAGGTGAGAAAAGGCAAGAACTTCAGAGGCAGGAGGTGGCAATGAAACAAGATATTGAAGAAAAATGGGGGTGAGGCCCACTAAAAACACCTCTAAGTGTGGGGACACAGAGCTAACTGGTAGCCTCTGACAAGCTCAGAAAAGCAGCAAAGACAAACTATTTGACTCAAGGGACTTTAGAAAGCAGATGGGGGGGGGTGCTGGGAAGGGATCGGAAGGGGAAGGCAACAATGCTTGATAAGAAATGTACTCATTACCTTCCCCATGTAATTGTAACCCCTCTGAACTGTAGTTTCACAATAAAAAATTGCTATTTACAATATTAAAAAAAAAAAAAGAAAGCAGATGGGCATGGATAGGATGGGATGTTGAAGGAGCTGCAGATCTAAGGAAGACCTGTGAGCTGGAGGAAGCAGTCTAAGAGCCACAAGTGAGGAGACCTAGTGCAGTAGTTATCTGTGGAGAAAAGAAACATCTATTTCTTATAGAAGAAAAGGACTAGGGTGAGCACAGCATGTAACAGGAAGAGTCTAGGACTTTAGGAAACCTGGAATAACAAACTTGACACCCATATAAAGCACTGATCTTTAGAGTTCATAAAAATTTCAAATTTCTAATAGTCTACCCTCAAATTCATACTCTTTGTCATTTATAACTGACTAAAGCCAATAACTAACTAAAGTAATACTTTATGATGTCAGATATTCTAATTTCAGGCCTAAATTTTCATTTCATTTCCTTTTTGAGATTTTACTTCTCTGCTACAATTTCCTATTTATTCATGTTTATTTTGCTTTCTCTTCTTATGCATTGCCATAATAACTGTTTTTTGTTTTTTTGGATCCAGTTGTGGGGCTGGAACTCTGGGCCTGGGCACTGTCCCTCAGCTTTTCAGTTCAAGGCTAGCACTCTACCACTTGAGCTACAGCGCCACTTCCGGCTTTTTTTCTTTTTTGCTTATGTGGTGCTGAGGAATCAAACCCAGGGCCTCATGCATGCAAGGCAAGCGCTCTACCACTGAGCCACCTTCCCAGCCCATAATAACTGTTTTAAATCTTCTGTG